AAATTCTTTATAACGGATTGTGTATTTAATACTGGAGAATATTCTTCATTAAATGCCATCGGGTGGCAAACATTTATTTGTCTTCGTTAGCAATATTCCCTTTGGGGTCTACCTAGTGTCAGCCGAAGTTGATGTCCCCGGTCTTGGTTTCCATTTGCCCCGCTTTTCATCTGTCTCTGGTTCCACGCGTCGCTCTATTATTCGAGTATTTAATACGAACCGATTTTACCATATATAAATAGTCCCCTTACTTTCCGGTGGCACATCTTTGTGTCATCAGGAAGTTGGTGAAGATATCTTTCTTGGCGAAAAATTTTCTGATCCCTCCTGAAAATTTTTCTGACGCTTGATCATATGCACGTCTCTCCGCATTTAATGCCCCAAACACGCGTCACTCCACGATTTAGCAATACTTTCGTTGTTTCTCAAGGTAATCATGGCCACGATTTTAGCAGTCTATTCCTTTACTTAGACGCCTCATTCTTCTTCTTTTACACTGTACCGTTTTTTCAAACTCTCTCAACATCTTTGCATTCAACTCTTTCTTGATTAATCTTCTTCTTCAAAGAACTCTTATTACCTTCTGCTAACCATGGCCTCCTCCTCCAAGAACTCAAGTTTTCTAAAAAAAATAAGGAAAACACCGATGATAATGCCCCTCTTACGTTGAGCACCATAATTCCAAGAAGGCTTAGTACAGCCAAGGATTTCAAAGAAAAGTTTCCTTCTACAAACTCTCGTACATGGGTTGTTGGCATGTACCCTTCTTTTATCCGTCCTTCTAGCATTCCTGCTGTGAAGGAGAATTGTGGTTGCCATCCTAGGTGTATCAAAAAATATTCTTTTCGCTAAGCGTATATATATAATAAAATAGAGTGAAAAGGTCCACCCCGAAACCAAGAGGGTACTAACTAACAGCTGAGTCCTCTCCGAACCATAGGAGATAGTTTCCCATCATACGGCTCACCAACTTTTATTTGATGGTCAAAGTTGAATTGAAAGTTAAGCGGTAGGAATTCTAAAGATTCTCCGGGGGAATACCAAACGAAACGATGGTGGCTCCATACGGGGGATTATCTGGCTCTTATAGGTGCATTAACTAGAAATTAGTTGTAATTGGAAGTAACTGTAAATGAGGGAGGAAAAGGAAAAGTAAAAAGTTTTATGGGTTCGTGCTTCACAGTCTGAACATCATCGCTCCCGATCTGGCGGAGCGAGTAACTTTCCATAATAAGGGTTTTACCTACCTTTACGCGTACCCCTTCACTTTGGGCCCATTTTCATTGAGCAGGGGACTTGACCCCGTAATCTTGGAGTTCTTCCACCGGTATCAAGTTTGCTTGGCACAAGTGAGCCCCTCTGTGAGGCGAATGGTAGCATGTCTACGACTTCTATGCTAGGAGACGGGGGAAGGGCTCTTCTTGGCTCGCATGATGAACCTTTACTCCCAAGGATTTTTCCGTGAGGGAGTAATAAACTTTAGCAAACGTGGCCACCATACTTTGCTCACCAGCATGGGTGATGATAACGACCGCGGATGGATAGAACGGTTCGTTGTTATTGCCACCAGGGATATCATCCCGTCCACAACTCCATCTTTCCTTGAGTCATGGATTCGTACATGTAAGTTCAATATTTGTCTTTTATTTGAATAAAAGGTAGTCTCATGTTGTTACTAATCTTTCTCTTTTCAATATTTCAGCAACTCGGTGAGCACCACCAAGGGTTGAAGGCTTGGACTAGTGGATCCAAAAGATTCTTGATATTACCACACCTGAGAGTCACCGGTGAAAAGACATGGCCCTCAAGTACGGGTGGAAGGCCAAAAATCATGGAAAGTTAATTCACGAAACTAATCTTGTCTTTACCTCATTTTGTGTATAAGAAAATTAGTTAACTTCTTTTTCGTTGAATTCAAGTCTTCCGCAGGGCTCTATTATCGTCCATGAAAAGGATGTTTTGGTTGATCCCACAGAAACTGCGAGATTGTTGAAGGATTCCTTCACCCGAACAGGAACCATTGGATCAGCTTCCGATGCAAGTGCTTCATCTCGGAGTCCCCGGCCGAAGAGCAAACAACCAAAAAGGCAGCACTCCTCCTCGATCGAGGGCAAAAGTAAAAAAGGTAAAGAGCATCGCGCCCGAGCCAGTCATAGCTACTGTGGTGATTGATGATGATGGGGAAGCCAGTGATAAAGGGGCTTCCCTAAAGATGAGACAACGACCTTCATCAGCTCAACAGAATGTTCAATTTGAAGAGCTTATAACTCCAACCGAGGACGACGTCCAAGTGCTCTAGGGAGAGTGTGATATAGTGGAGAATGACAATTATAGCTTCCGAGCCCCAGTTGTTGCTCCCGATCAAACTTCCCAAAATTTCACCAATTTTCAACTTTCGCCAATTAACGCTGAATTGACTTACGAGCCTCCAAATCAACATCCGAACATGCTCCTAAGACCGAAATCACCATATGGAGCTATTGAAACCGATGAAACTCCATTCCGAAGTCGCCTTCACACAAGTCAAACTACGATCAACTCTTACAACTTAAACTTCAAACTTAGGGACTATGTATCCCATTTCACTCTAAACTCTCCCGAACCCGACACCAAGCACTCCGGCGAGTCAAAAAATCACAAACTGAAATAGAGGGAGCAATAAATAGGGGATCGGGGCTCATACTCTCCAAATGATCAGTCGTGTCGTTACATCTGGTGATTGAAAAGTTGAGATGAGAGATACAAATTGTCCCACTTGGTGCCGCCGAAATTTATAGACAATAACATTACGTCAAGAAAATATAATCGAGACCGAAAAATATTGCAACAATCGTAGTATTTTATTTCAAATGATTTGAATGTTACAATCTCTATGGTTCATCTGATTCTTCTTTCCAATAATAAATAAATTTAAGGGCATTTGAGCTTGAACTTGAATCTATATTTGTTGCCACGAACGATGATCTTGAATTCATCTAGCACGAAGTTTGATTTGAACTTGTACTCCTTGAACGTTGATATATTCTTCGTTCTTGAGCTTGAACTTGAACTTGAAGCTTGAACTTGTGGAGGAATTTGCGACGTTTGATCCACGAGCTCTCTCTTGCTTCTTGTTATAACTTCTAGTATCTCTTATGAGTTATGAAGACCCCTATTTATAGTTGTGGAAGGGAAGAGTTGTGATGAGAACGAACTCTTTCCGACCAATCAGATTGAAGTGTGACAAAACCGTATTGATTGGCCATAGCATGTTAATTGCACATGTGGCGCGATTTCATTGGTCTTTTAATTTGACTTGGCATGCCTTGTCATTCTGACACGTGGCATGATCTCATTGGCTCTTCTATTTGACCTGTCATGCCACATCATTTGACACGTGGCGCCGAATTGGGCTTCTAGGAAGATGACATTTTGGGCTTAATGAAGTGAGCTCATCATGTAGCCCAATTTAGCCCAATAGATTTGGACCTATTTACTTAACCCATATGTATTGGACTTGTATGATTAATTCAATTATATTAACCCATAATATTTATTTGATCTAATATATCTTGCATTTAAAATATGGTCTAAGTTATTTTATTGGATTTAACTCTGATAAAATTTATATGTCTACAGCTCCACTTCAATACTTTTAGCTGTAGCTAGAAAATTAATTTTCACATGATATATAACAAACTTCATAAGCTATATCCTGACTACAGCTATCGAACTAGCATCATGTGAATTTTTGTCCTCATAAATTAACCCACTTAAGTCACCTTTTACCTTAATTTTTTTTATCTTTTCCACTATCAATGACATGGGATGAAGCCAAATCAAGAAATCAACAACCCCTCAAATTGTTTTCTTATGTCATTGTTAGGCAAACTAAGCGGGGAAGACGAAAAAAGTTTCCAATTTTTTATAGAAAAGATAGATAGTTCGTAAACTCATGGTGTTAGCAAGTAGAGAAACTTAAAATTTTTGTTATTGTACTTGTGCTAAACTCTAAAATGTAAGAAAAGAGAAAAGACGTGCAAATCATTTTCTTCACGTAATTTATATTTTCTAAAATTGGATCAAAGTACAAAAGAAAGTTTCGTCATGGAAAAAGAAAACCTCGAAATTAATCGGAAAAAAAGAAAGAAAGAAAGAAACATTACTAATAAAGTGTTTCATTGTGAATTTCGTACAAAGTTTAACCACGAGAAATAGATATCCGTTTCCATCCTTCCCAACTTCAAACTCATATATTCGAAACAAAAGAATTTCCTCACCTTCTTTCCTTTCATATTTGGTGAATTAGTGTACGTGTGGATAGAAAAAAATTAAAAAATAAAATAAAAGGAGGGATACTAAGGTTACTTTGCAATTCAAGTAAACCACCATTTCCATATAAACAAATAAACAACGAACATCAAGAAAACAAGGTCTCCTGTATCGCTTGAGTAACTTAGGATATAGTAGTGAATTGTGTTATATATTTTGCATAATTTAATTGACTCCACAAGTACGTCTTATTTTGAAAATATTGCGTAGACACAAATTAACCTATTTCTTTTTACCAAACATACAAACTATGACTCTCTCTTAAGTACTCCTCTGAGAAATTATTTTAGCTTTAGGAAAGATATATATTTCTCCAAATTAAATGAACAACTTTCGAAAGTTTAATCAAAGGTGCTCTAAAGTTCTGTATCATATCCTAAAAGTGATTATGTAGGAGTACTTCTTATCAACTCCTTCCTATTTTACGAAATGAAAGAACTACAGAAGCAATTCATCTGAGGATTAAGTGAAAATTTTATTTAGTTGAATTCTTTATATACACTCCAAAAGTACAAAATTTAGTGATAATAATAGATTGGAAAGTTTAAAGAAATCATAGCGACACCGACACGTGCATAGGCATAGGCTGACAGTTCGGTAGAAAATGAATTTCTTGCCTAGCTAAGCAATTTCTTTTACGTCGTATAAAGGAAAAATATCCATTTCTCCTTAGCATAAAGTTCTCAACAATGACTTCTTTTCCTGTGCTCTTCATCTCATTTCTTCTCATCATCAAAGGTAAGAAGAAATACATCATCATCCTTCTCTTTTAATACAAGAAAATCATCATATCTTGTCATTTAATTTCTCATGTTTGTTTGAGTATTAATTCTTTTCAGGTGCGAATACAAAATTTAAACTATACGGGTTCAACCTATAAGGTTCTTAATTATAGACTCATATCCACTATTTATTGCACTTCTAATGAATTTTTAAACATAAATTTATGTTTTTAATATATTCAAATGAACTTGGTACCGCAATACTGCATCCGCCCCAAATTACTTTTAGTTCTTGACTGTGTTTTTTCTTCTTCTAAATTTCAGGGAATCATTGTCAACGATGTTCTTTTGCTGATATCATAATGGAGCAAAACCAGACAGAGATCATAGTACATTCAATGCCAGAATTTAAAGTTACGTTGTTTAATGCCTGTCCTTGTCTTCAAACAAATATCATATTAAACTGTACAGATTTTAAATCAGCAGAGAAGATAGAACCTAATGTTTTGGTGATCAATGGAAGTAAGTGTAGTCTTCCAAAAGGAACGTTTATTCCTCCATTTACAGGTTATGTTTTTAGCTATGCCTGGGATTCTTTGTTTCCATTTAAGCCACTTTCCTCCAATCCTGTTTGTTAGAAAATTGATAGAATAACAAGGAATTTCTTTTTTTATATGTGTACATATTTGATGAGTTTAATATCAAAAAGTATGTTTGTAATTGTTGTCCGATGAAATTCTCTATTTGTACGAGTGAAGGCGGAACCAAAATTTAAACTTTTTGGATTTTGAATTTTAGAACACGTCTTTATTAGGTTCTAAATTTAATATGTGTACATATTTAAAAAAATTTATTAATACAAATATAGTGTTTGAACTAAAATTATTGTGTTTGATCGAACCCGCTTCTACCTCCGCCCCTAGTACTAACTACATTCTTATTTATAAAACAGTTTTAGAAAGTAGGATCCAGTGCACAAAGTGCTCACCACAGAGTGTTCATCCGAATAGCAGTGGCTATAGCAGAGGTTGTAGCGACTACGGATTTCCCCTCCTACAAAAAAAAAAAAAAAAATGTTGGATCCTTTACATAATAGACATGTCTTTTTTATATAACTACTTATATAGTGATTATTAAATCAGGAAGAAATCTAATATTTCAAGAATAGAACCCGTCAGTCTTCTACTTGATGATTGTTAATTTTGTTTAACCAAAAATCTGAGTCTTTGGTCAAATCTTTAGAAATATAGAGAAATTCGGGTTACTGATAATCTAGAGACGAAAATAATAAAAGACTTTTGAGAATAATAAGTAATTTTGTATTTCAGTGTAATCTCAATAATATTTCTTGTCCTTACAGTTGTTGAGTCCTTCTCCTTTTATAGTTGATTCTAGGAGAAGATGTAATGCCTTTGTCTTAATGAGACAATTATGAGCAATAAATGACATTTAAAAGAAACGTTACACAATCATTTCTATTAAATTCAGATTCTCTAACGTATTTGATATTTAATACTGTATTTAGACTCTTTTACGTCATCAGATTCGTATCTTCAACTTCTTCCGATCTTTGATCTTTAAATGACTCGAATAGGTACGAGACTCGTACCTATTTTAGTAACGGTCCACACCTATGTTGCTTTCTTTTCCCCATATCTGTTGTCGCCCGTGCCTCTTGGCTATTTATTGCGTTTTGACCTTTTGACCAGTCCACGTGTCATGACACGTCATCTTCAATATTCAGACTCAGTTTTTTCCTAATACAAATAGTCCCCCCACTTTCCATTTATTTATCAATTAAATATTTGGGAAGTGGTTCTTCACGAAAAAGGAATTTTCGCCGTAATTAATGTTATGTCAGTACTGACGCTTCAATTGTCCTTTCTATTTAATGCTCTGCACACGTGTCACCTTCTGATATGTATGTAATTCTACAGCCTTTTTCCAAGGCTTCTTCATCCCCTCTATTTACGAAGTGATAGTTGCCTTTATTATAGGCTTTCCATCATTACGCTTCTTTGTTTGACGGTTGCTATTATACACATATTTAACCTTTTTTCCTTTGTCTTCTTCTTCATAAACCCTTAACAGATACTTTACTCTTTACTTTTGTTCCTTTCTCCTTTAGTTCATCCTTTCTCTGCAATGGCATCTCCGAATCCTAACCCTAAGAGAATCCCAATTCTTGATAGCTTCCCCAACGCCCCTGTAAGACATAGAAGGGGTAGAGGGGGCAGGCTTCGTAGCCTAGGATCCGTTCGTGGTGGTTCCTCTGGTTCCATCACTCCTTCTTCTAGTTTTAGCACTATTTCTAGAGGTTCTATCACTAAGAAATCCTCTTCTAAAGGTAAAGAACTTTCTGAGCCTCTTCAAGAGCCTTTAGTTGAGGAAATAGTACCCAATGACTTGTCCTTTGAGAATGATAGGAAATCTCTTCGTGATCAAGTTGTTAATTTAGAGAAAGCTGACACTTTTCCTTCTCTAATCACTGAACCTTTGATTTCTATTGTTCGAAAAGATTGCAACTGGAGAAGTGATCTTCGTATAGTGATCCCTAATCCAAACCAAAGAATATCTTCCTTTAGGATTGGATTTTCTTTTGTTTATACTTATCCCTTCACTTTAGGATTTAATCCTGCAATTGACTCGGTTATACTTGATTTCTGTCGCTTTTTCAAAATTTGCTTGGGTCAAATTGGCCCCCTGGTATGGAGAGCAGCGGCTTGTTTGAGATATTTGTCTGTAAAAGCCAATGTTAGCTTTACTTTTCCCCACCTTATTCATCTTTACCACCCCAAATTATTCCGCCATAGGGTTTTTACTTTAACTGCAAGAAGTAAAAGGTTTTTGGTAAGCCCTGAAGATGACAAGGATCGTGAGTGGTACACTCGTTATGTCGCTGTTCGCACAGTTGATTTGGTGGGTGAAACAAATATCCCCTTCCCTGAGAAGTGGAATTTTGCACGTAAGTTTTTTTTTACTTACCGTACATATCTTTAAGAATTTCAATTTCTTTTCTAATTTCGTCTCTTTTTGCTTTTCTATAGCAACTATGGGAGATGTGGAATCCGTTCCTAATTTCCGTGGTTGGGTAGATTCAATCTTGAAATCCGTGCCTATGGAGGCAAGAACTTGGAAATCCATTTCCAATTTACATGGTTGGAAAGTAAAAACTCACGGTATGCATCCCTTTATGCTTTTTTTTTGTATGTTAAGTCCCTTCTTGTTTCTAACTTTTTTTCATCCTTCTTTTTGTCAGGATTTGCTATTCGAGGAATGACAGCTGAAGTAGCTATTGCCCTTCGAGCCTCTTCTGGTACTTCACTCTCTTTGGAGAGAACTCAAGCTACGCTATCAAAGAGGAAAGTTGTAGAAGAGGATTCTGAGAATGATGAAGATGAAGACACCTCTTTAATAGCTAGACCAAGAGTTAGGAGACGCATCGTTTCCGAGGATGAAGCTGAAGTTACCCCTGTCTGTGCCTCTCTTACCGAACCTGTTCGCATTCCTTCTGATGATGAAACCACTCCAAGGGACACCAATGAGTCTATTCAACGCCTCTTTGTTAGTGGTTTTGAAAGTGGAGAACTAGGTCCAGTTTTAGATGAAGTTCCTTCTTTTTCCTTTGTTCCTCCGTTGGTTTCAAGTGCTTCCTTGCCCATTCTATCTGTTCCTGCTCCCTTATCTATTTATGTTCCCTTGCCTGGCTCTTCTTCCTTACCTGTTTCGAGTCCTTCGACTCCTGTTATTTTCACTTCTTCTACCGCTCCTCCTTCTATAACTCCCCCTCCCTCTGTTCAACATGCAGGGGAGGGTTCCAGTAGTAGAAGCTTGGCTATGAGGAGCGTTACACTTGAAGTTCCTGCTAATAACAGTCTTTTAAGGAAGTCTGGTGGAGCATATGCCTGTCTTAGGCCTTTGATTGGAGATATTGAGAAGAAGAAGATAAGCAGTCACAGTTGCTTAACTTTGGTGAATAACATAGTTAATTCTACTTTGAAGGTATTTTTTTCTACTTACTAACAAGCTTTTTTTTTTATTTCTAAATTCTTACTTCTATGAGTTGTCTCTGTAGGCTAACCTCATTGGTACAGAATTGATGGGAAGAATTTCCCTTCTGGAAAAGAAAACTCGTGAGTCTGAAAAGTCTATCCACGAGGCTGAGGAAATAGCCAAGGGAGCCCAGCTAGAAGCAGATAATTGGAAAGAGCAGTTTGAGAATGCTCAGGGAACCATAGAAGAATTGCAAGAGAGTAGAAATCACCTGGAGCAGCAAAAGCGAAGTCTGACTTCTGAGCTAGCAGTTGCCAAAACTTCTTCAAGTCAATTTGAAAAAGACAAGGAGCGCCTTGAATATTGCTTTTCAGAACAATTATCAAAGTCAAGTGAAGAAATCAGAGAACTTAAGGCACTCTTGGA